CCGGCTGCGAGCACGAGTGCGTGAACGAGCCAGGCGGTTACTACTGCACCTGCCACTTGGGTTTCGAGCTCGGAGAGGACGGCGTATCGTGCCGCGATATCGACGAGTGCAAAGAGGGGGTCAAACCGTGCTCCCACGGTTGCAACAACACCGAGGGCTCGTTCGAGTGCACCTGTCCAAGGGGATTCTCTCTCAAAGAGGACAATCTCACCTGCACTCGGGCGAGANCGAAACACTGGCGACACCTTGCTCTCACGAGTGCCAAGAGTCGGAGGACGGGCCGACGTGCGTTTGCCCGCGAGGTTATCGCGTCCACGAGGACGAGGTGAGCTGCGTGGACGAGGACGAGTGCGCTCTGAACCTGTGCTCTCACTCCTGCGTGAACTTGGAGGGTGGGTTCTTGTGCACCTGCCCTCAAGGTTTCGAAACAAGGTTGGACAAGTTCAATTGCACGGACGTGGACGAGTGCGCCAACAATATTCACGATTGCGAGCACGAGTGCGTGAACGTCCACGGGGGTTACGCGTGCGGCTGTCGATCCGGGTTCACTTTGAACGACGACAACAGGACCTGTTCGGACGTGGACGAGTGTCTGGAGGGTGGTCACAAGTGCGAGCAGATCTGCGTGAATTCCGTTGGGAATTACACTTGCTCTTGCAGGGAGGGTTACCGGTTGTCGGACGGAGAAGGCAGTTTCTTCGATTGCGTGGACGTAAACGAGTGCGACGAGGGGCGACACGGTTGCTCCCACGAGTGTTCGAACGAGGAGGGTGGATTCGAGTGCGGTTGCCCGTTGGGTTATCTGTTGGGCAACGACTCGAGGACATGCGAGGACGCGAACGAGTGCCTGGAAGGGACTCACCAATGCTCCCACGAGTGCGTGAACGTTCAAGGGTCGTACGCGTGCACCTGTCCACCCGGCATGGTCGCGTCGGAGGACAAGAGGCTGTGCGTCCCCGTCGACCCGTGCCATTTCGCCAATTGTTCCCACGTGTGCGAGAAGCATCGCGACACTTTCAAATGCAGCTGCCCAGAGGGTTTCGTCCTCCAGGAGGACGGGAGGACCTGCCAGGATTTCGACGAGTGCCTCGAGAACGAGCACGATTGCTCCCACGATTGCGCCAACACGCTGGGAAGTTACGAGTGCGTCTGCCCCGACGGTTTGACGCTTCTGCAGGACGGCCTCACGTGCGAGGACCCGTTGTGCCCGGAGGGACTGCGGCGGGACGAGAAGGGCAGGTGTCGGGACGTCGACGAGTGCCTGGAACGAAACCACGAGTGCTCCCACATCTGCATCAACGAGCACGCCTCGTATCGTTGCTCCTGCCTCCCTGGATGGACCTTGTCCGACGACGGCGTCACCTGCGTCGTTTCAGACCCCTGCTCCAACTCGTCCTGCTCCCACATCTGCCTCCCCTCCTCGAGCCCCGCCTGCGGTTGCCCTTCGGGGTACAAGTTGGCCGCGGACGGCGCCACCTGCCAGGACGTGGACGAGTGTCGAGACGGGTCGGCCAATTGCAGTTTCTCGTGCAGGAACGACGAGGGGTCGTACGCTTGCGAGTGCCCGCAAGGGTTCAAGCTCGGCGAGGACGGTCGAAGTTGCGTCGACGTGGACGAATGCGCGCAACCTGATCACAATTGTCCCCGAGAATGCGTCAATCTCGAGGGGACGTACGAGTGCGTGTGCCCTGTCGGACACGTGTTCTCGAAAACGGAGCTCGCCTGCGTGGACATCGACGAGTGCGCGACCGCGCAACACGCCTGCTCCCACGCGTGCACCAACACCGTAGGCGGATACGACTGCACTTGCCCGACCGGATGGAGGCTGAAACAGGACTCGAGGAACTGCTTCCCTCCGTCTACCGTCCATCGTAATTGCTCGCACGCGTACGAGCGAGACGGCGAGGAGATCCGCTGCGGTTGCCCCGAGGGCTTCGAGCTCCAGGACGACGAGACCACTTGCGGCGACGTCGACGAGTGCGCCGAGGATCCTCCCCCTTGCGCCCACCGCTGCGTCAACACGAAAGGATCCTACCGCTGCGAGTGCCCTCCCGGTCTACGGCTGAGACAGGATCGAACAACCTGCCAGGACATCGACGAGTGCGTAAATAACAACGGGGGCTGTTCCCACGATTGCTCCAACACCGAGGGTAGCTTCCGCTGTACCTGTCCTCGAGGATACGAGTTGGTCGAGGACGGCAAGACGTGTCTGGACGTGGACGAATGCGTAAATAACAACGGAGGTTGTTCTCACGATTGCTTTAACACCGAGGGTAGCTTTCGTTGTACCTGTCCTCGAGGATACGAGTTGGTCGAGGACGGCAAGACGTGTTTGGACGTGGACGAGTGCGTAAATAACAACGGGGGTTGTTCTCACGATTGCTCCAACACCGAGGGTAGCTTTCGTTGTACCTGTCCTCGAGGATACGAGTTGGTCGAGGATGGCAAGACGTGTCTGGACGTGGACGAATGCGTAAATAACAACGGCGGTTGTTCTCACGATTGCTTTAACACCGAGGGTCGCTTTCGTTGTACCTGTCCTCGAGGATACGAGCTGGTCGAGGACGGCAAGACGTGTTTGGACGTGGACGAGGGCGTAAATAACAACGGGGGTTGTTCTCACGATTGCTTTAACACCGAGGGTAGCTTTCGTTGTACCTGTCCTCGAGGGTACGAGTTGATCGAGGACGGGAAGACGTGTCTGGACGTGGACGAGTGCAAGAGGAAGGATGTGTTCCACGGGTGTTCCCATCGGTGCGAAAATTTGGACGGTGGGTACGTTTGCTCTTGTCCCGAGGGCTCGGTGCTTGGACAGGACAATAGGACGTGCACAGTGGGGGCGTGCGAGCAGATGCACAATTGCAGCCACACGTGCGTGAACGTCCGGGATGGTTACGAATGCGAGTGTCCCACAGGGTGGGAATTAAGCTCGGACGGTCGGACGTGCGAGGAAATTGATTTTTGCGCCGGTGGACACGGCTGCTCGCACGAGTGCGTGAGCGTGGCGGGTGGCGGGTTCCAGTGCCGGTGCCCGGCCGGCTATGCTTTGTCCAAGGATAACAGGAGCTGCCTGGACAGGGACGAGTGCGAGGAGGCGGGCAACGAGGTGAGCAACGGCTGCTCCCATTCCTGCGTCAACACGGATGGGAGCTACGAGTGCGGGTGCCCGAAAGGGTATCGACTGGCAGGCGATCGAAAGACCTGCGAGGACGTGAACGAGTGCATCGAGGACAACGGTGGATGCTCCCATCTGTGCGCCAACATCGAGGGTGGCGTCGAGTGCGCCTGCCCGGATAATTACAAACTGCTGGAGGACGACGGGAAGACGTGCGTGGAGATCGACGAATGCCTGATCGACAACGGTGGTTGCACGCATTTGTGCCATTACGAGAACGGCACCGTCTCCTGTTTCTGCCCGCCAGGCATGATTCTCGAGGACGACAATGCCACTTGCTCGGAGGAGAACAAGTGTTACGCGGATAACGGGGGTTGCTCCCATTATTGCAGCTACGAGGATGGCAGGGTGGCTTGCTCCTGCCCAACGGATCTCGTATTGTCCGAGAACGGAACCGTTTGCGTGGAACGAAATAGGTGCTCGGAGGGGAACGGTGGTTGCTCCCACGATTGCCGTTACGAGGGAGGAGAGACGTTTTGCCTGTGCCCGGACGACATGATCCTCGCGGATGACAAGCTTCGTTGCGTCTACGCGAACAAATGTTTCATCGACAACGGGGGCTGTTCCGACATCTGCTCCTTCTCGAACGGGC